CAAGACAAAAGAACTACAATAAATTGTTGCACTTGGGACGGTGTTTATGTCATATATAGCTTATTTATATTTTAAAGTAGTATTTTACTTACTGCTTGAATAAGTTCTGCTCAAATTTGATAACTACCTGACGATTTATACCTTTTCAACTTTGCAAAAGCAATTTCAAAAGGGCTAGGATCAGGTACTGACAGCTCAGCTGTATGTACGAGTATTTCTGTCTCTAATATCACTGACTCTTTGTACATTCAATTAACTGAGATAAGTATTTCTTCCACTAACTAAAAATGTTGTGGGAATCTGCAAGCAGAACACCATTCTCATCCTTCATTAGGTTACTTCTAAGTTGGTAACTCCTCTTAAAGTCATTTATTCCTTTATACAGGTCTCTAATATTCCTGTTCTTACTGTTTACTGCATGTTCATTAATTTTGTCTTTCAGATATTCCCTCTTTTATTCCTGAAATGTCTGCTGACTTCATGTCTTATATTGCTCAGATTATTCGCACTTATTTCACTTTGATTCTGTGAACACTGCAGTTTGGCTTGTTTCCTTTCTTCTAGTAATTTTGAACATCATTTGTAGAAACATGGCTTATGCTTCTTCAATTCATAATAACCTACACTTTCTTTGGCAGAAATTTTGATATTCTGTCTAATAGTTTCCCAAGCTCTATTAATATCCACCTCAGGGTCTAAGTTTTCCAAAGCTGCGAAACTCTTTGAGATTTCAACACGATACTGCTCTTTAGCTTCTACTTTGTTTGTTTTCTTGAGATTGAACTCCTCCATATGAACTCTGTGCGTTGTTTGTTTATTCTCTGCCATTTCTCCCTAGCTTTTGCCACCACCAGATAGTGGTCAGTATCATAATCTGCTGCCCTGAATGATCAGACATCAAGTACACTTGAATGCCATCTCCAATTTGTCAAATTATGGTCAATTTAATTGTGTCTTTCCATCGGATGTTGTCCAAGTAAATTTATGAATGGTACAATTTTGGAACATTGTACTGTTGACAGATTTTTGGATGTGGCAAAATTTACTAATCCAATTCCATTATCATTACTAATTCCATGTAAACTCTCATTCCCAATTTTTGGTGTGAAATTATCTTACCTACTTACCTTGGCGTTGAAATCTCGTAACAGAATTTTCATATGGTATTTAGGGAATGAACTCCTNGGTCAGTATCATAATCTGCTGCCCTGAATGATCAGATAATCAAGTACACTTGAATGCCATCTCCAATTTGTCAAATTATGGTCAATTTAATTGTGTCTTTCCATCAGGTGTTGTCCAAGTAAATTTATGAATGGTACAATTTTGGAACATTGTCATTTCGTTAAGCTCAATTTCTAAGTTCCATCACGATTTCAAGCATATTTGCCAGATTATAAAATGTACCTACTTTTATAAGAAAAAAAATGTATAAAAAAAGAAATTGCCTACAACTACAAATTATATAATTCAAGTACATTCCAGACATTTTTCCAGAAAGAAGTGTGTCTTATAATTTCTAAATTACTGTAAATATTTTATAGTTCAAATAAAAAATATTGGACAAAAAAAGACGAATCACAATTTAAAATTTATGCTAAATACACATGAGATTACTTTCTGTAAATTTTGTTTTCATGGCAATAATTACCAGCATTGTGGTCTTCTGTGTGACATTATGTAGTTCTGTAAAGAGATAGAAAAGTTTCAGAGGAAAACATGGTATCCGCCCACAAAACTACATGGTGCCACAACCCAAAAGCCCAAAATCTGACATTAGTTTGTTTTTTTTAATTCAGTAAGAGATTCCTTGACATTTGTGTAGGTAGGTGCTTCATAAAATATATTTCAAATTCTTTTAAGTTATTGTGAAGTTAGGCACATTTAAATAACAATCTAGTAATTTATTTTTTGGTTCATTTTATAAAAACTTGTGACAAGATTACGCATATTTTTTTTCAATTTCTGATAAGTATCATGCTGCAGCATGAATTTCATGGTGCAGTTTTCATTTAAAGACTGACAGCCCATTAGTAAAGAAATTCCTTGCTTTCAAGTATCCTGAAGGCTTATTGATATCCATTTCTTTACACTAGGATTAATTCTTTGCAAAAGTACATAAATGTGAAACATAAGCATGTTCTTATTATTGAGTGTAAAAACTTTCTCAGCTTACTGGTTCGTCCATCTGGCAACAAAGTATCCAGTGCATTTAGTGGGTATGCTGAACAAGTAATGTTGCTGTACCGCCAGAATTCTCTCGCACTCAATTCCAACATCTCTCGGAATACCTCGGCTCGACCTAACTTACAAGCAAGTGTGAGTGGAGTAAGACCAGATAGGTTCACAATTCCATTGCTGGCAGGTAGCTTTGGATGACGTAATGCATAGCCAAACATATCCTATATAAATAAAAGAGTAGCAAATCAGAACACTTGGTATAATTACAGACTCCAAAATGAACACAAAATGTGTCAATTAATGTAAATTCCAACTTTTATTAAGAAGCATTATAGCCAAGTACTACCAATCATTAGACAAGTCACTGGCATCTTCTTGATTACTTCTCTGATAATACCTATCATTAAGTGTTAATGTACGGTTACTGCACACTGATATGGTTACACAATAATTTTCTCAACTGAAATGACTGTGAAAATTCTGTGACCCAGTACATGACTGACCACAAGACAGACGATGAGAAACTGCACACTGGAGTGAATTGTGGCATTTGCTGTGGGTGAAAAATTGTTGTCAAGAAGCATCAGTGGAGTATGAGACACCTTTCTTGAAATTTCTCCATTACTCAGGCTGGGAAAGTCATTGTGTATCATTGCGCAGCAACAGTTCACTAACACTTATAGACAAGTACTGTCACAGGATTAATCAAGATGACGCCCATGAATATTTAATGATTCTGACAGCATCTATGTTTGGCAGCCAGGATAATGTATAAAGCTAGCATTTATAATTATTTTCTTTTCATAATTTATCAGTGGCAGATATTCCTTAATAAACTAGTAAACATATCTAAACTGAAGTGCTGTATCATAATGCCACAGATGTTTTATGAAACACCAGTGTTCAAAGAATAGCTTAGACTCAAAAATGTAGCAGAGTAACAAGCAAAGAATTTGTCAGTACTAGGATATATGGAGGATTTGTTCCAGTAGCAAAGCTTCTAATATTTGTAAATGCAACTATACAAACCAACTTATCACAGACAACCACCATGTGCAGTATCATGTTTCCAAAGGAGTCCTGAGCATCAGGATTAGCACCTGAGTCAAGAAGCAGATTATAAACACTTTCATTAGAGCAACATGCTGCCCATGCTAAAGGGAACTCTCCTAGATAGGCCAGCCCTTCATAGTCTGTATGTTTACTTGGTCTTGCTCTTTGTTGATCCCTTGGTAGAAAGAAGCTCCCTGTATTATGAACAAAATAACGAAATCAATAGTTCATTATCTTCAAGTGAGCTAGGATATTTCTACTTCACACGAAAGAAATACATTGTGTTCATTTGTTTCATTTAATAGACATGGACCCATTCTGCAAAGCAGTGGTCTGCAATGACAGAAAATGATAATTTCTGCTCAGAATCTGGACAAAATGTTAAAGTAATTAATATCCAAAATAAATGTTAAACGTTCAGATTATATGGTGTCACACATGAGGACGTTCAAAAGATAAATCTAAATGCATAATATTGTGACAATACGTATGTTTGAAAATCCCCAGCTCTTTAGGCCAGACAGCTAACGTAGATGCCGCAGTTCTCCAGCAACCGCGCTCTGCTACTAGACAGCTAACGTAGCTGCTGCAACTATCAGCAACCATGCTCTGCGACCAGGGAGCTAACGTAGTTGCCACAACTCTCCAGCAAACGCGCCGTAGGAAGCTGTTCCTACAGGCGCACACAGCACCACATTACCGGCCAGACAAACAAGATGAATGGCTGTAAAGACTTGGTTTACCACAAAGGAGCAAATTCTACCAGCGCACTCATGGTGGAACAAACTGCGACAGTTTCAGCATATAAGTACATTCAAACATACATACCTATGGCCCTCTGTGAAACATTTGCCCCTGCTTCCACAAGATCCTGCACTAGTTCATTATTAGCATATGCAATTGCTAGGTGCAAAGCACTTGCCCCAAGATATTCTTCACCCTCTACAACATCCAAAGCTTGTTTTGGGAAACATTTGAGCAGGGTGCGAGCTAGTCTTGTGTGGACCTTTGTATCACATATAATAAGTACATGCAGTAGTGTTTCTCCCAGTGAGCCACGGTACTGCATTCGCCAACATGCTTCATGGTCAGTCCATTTTGCAAGTGGATCATGTGGACTCAATGATGCTTCAATTGGAAGAACTACCTATGAAACCACCAGAGACATATTTAGAGAATATTTTAAATCACTAATTTTAAATGCATGAAAATTAGGATTTCCCTGGAATTACTGGCTCCTCAAAATAAATTCTAACACATATTAATTCTGTTTACTTTTTACCAATAACAATTGACAACACAGTAGCAACCGTTATCAATTGTAATATTACATAGATTGCACAATTTGAAGAATTACTTTTGCAAGTTTCATATATACAGAAATAACTGCACTGGTAATACCAAGTCACAGAAGAGCATATCATATACAGCAACAGAATTTTCTATGGCTATTCCCACAAAAATAAATATAGTTTACTAGTGATTTAATAACCAATCTCATAAATCTCCCATGATAAAATTCTAGTTTCCTTTGACATATTTCAGTGTCCTTAGAAGATTAATATTCACTTTTATGGATACATTAATCTAGAGTTCTAAACCATATCAGTTCAATAGCATGAAAATCCAACGTTCCAGAAACTACCTGATATCATCATAATGAAGACATTTAAAAGTTAACATAGCAACTACATACAATGTATACTACAACAGTGAATTTCACCATCATAAAGAATTCGATGTTCGATTAAACACAAGAACTTAAATTAAATCCTAGCCTTGGAATGTGGCCATAAATTAATGTAAAAATCAAAGATGGGTTTGAATCGCCGAATGATTTCAATATAAGCTTTGAGGTTTTGATGATAGTGAAGATTCATACTGTTGTCTGCTGAGTATGACATCATGAAGTCTAGTAGGAGGACCAATATTTCAGAGAAACACAGTACCTCCATCTTCTACGTTGCCACAGTTTAGAAAACCACTGCATAATACTTCAGACTTTACTAATATTGGTATTTCATAAGATGGGAAAATATCTTAAACTGGTATGTATTAATTTTCTTTCTATACATTACTATAACAGAGTTTTTAAGCACATTAATAATTTACAAAAAGAAAATTTTAATACCATAAATGCTGTATTAAACACAAAGCTTGGGCCTTAGCTGTAGCCATATATTAACAAAGAAGCATATAGTTGTTAACCTATGTCACGAACTTTACAGTATAATACAGCGCCATGATGCATGTTCTATTTCATACCAATAAAAAGGACCTTGTGAACTACCAATTTCTTTCAGCATTGAAGTTCTTTATAATTGAGACAAAACACATTTTTCAATACAATAACATGCAAGTACAAATAAAACTATAAAAATATGCTTTAATGAACAAAGAATAATTCAATTACTGCATGTTTAATGAAAATTACCTTTTCTTGACCTCTGAACTTCCAACGTAAATACTCAGCCCTGTTTATCACTTGCCCTTTCCCTTCTGCATACATCAGTATTCCAAATTGTTCTTTTATTAGCTTCTCTACTTCAGCTTGACCTCCCAAGTTGTAAGCATCAATAAGTTCACCACCATTCTTATAATTGGCAATCCTATGGGACAGAAAACATTAGAATTATAAAAAGAGTAACATACTATATTATGAAAGCATAAATTATTTAATTATTTCAGTTGATACAGGTTTGCCTCTGTTAGACTTCAGCACAAGTCATCTTTCCAAACACTTGTTCTTCACATTGCTTCCTAGGCATTATTTTAGAAACTATGAAAATCTTGCATCATATGTTTGAAGATGAAAGTGACATGTAGATTGTATGTCTGGCAGAAAAATGCGGTCATGGTCACTAATTCTTTCATATAATGTCTCTAGTACCCTTTAAATTTTAAGGTTTTATATATTTGTTATATACAGGGTGGGCCAGACTCAATTAGGCAGTTTTTGATCATTAATAACTAACCAATCCAACAACACACGGGATAATGGGAAAGTACCTTTTGTTGTCGATAGATGGCAGCATCATACAGTATGCTGTGAACAAGGTCAATACTCTGCATACTTAGTGCGCATCGAGGAAACGTCATGGCTGGTAGACGGTTGTCTATCGAGCAGCGTGTAAAATGTGTGCGCCTTTTCTCAGTTACTAACAATGTATCAGAAGTCCAGCGCAGGATGTTGGAAGAGTTTGGACCACCAGCAGTCCACAGGGACACAATTGCCCGAATAAACAAGCAGTTTGATGATGTGGGGCGGCGTGACATACGAAGGACTGATTTGCCCATTCTTCCTTGAAGGTTACATCATGGGGGAAACCTACCTAAAGTTGCTGAGGGAAAGTGTCATCCCAGAACTTCAGAGGAGAGAGAACTTTGATGAACTGTGGTGGCAGCAAGATGGGGCCCCACCACACTTCGCCAATATTGTTCAGGCGTTCTTGCATCAAGTTTTTCCTCAATGCTGGATTGGCCATCAAGGGCCTGTGGAGTGGCCAGCCTGATCACTCGACATCGCCCCACCAGACTTTTTCCTTTGGGGTTACCTCAAAGACAAGGTGTACACTAATCCCATTGACAGTGTGAAACATCTGCGTGAGGTGATTGTTCAGGAGTTCAATAAAGTTCTGGTGAATATGTGTAGAAAGGCGTGTGAAAATGTTGCTTTGCGTCTGCAAGCCTGTGTTGACTTAGGTGGTGCCCAGGTTGACCAGCATCTTGAAAATCAATGACTTATGTGTGTGCAATTCCATTTTTGTAACCATTGCAATTTTTAACATTTATCAATGAAAATAACATCTAATCAAAAACTGCCTAATTGAGTCTGGCCCACCCTGTACTTTAATATTTAAAAATTGACAGAACAACTATGAAAACAAATCATCATATTTATGTTTTCTATATAAAAAATACCACAGTTCTCTATGTAATTAGAGTAAGAAATTTGAATGACTATCAAAACAGGTATTTCTAATTTGTATTAAAGTAACAAATATTGTTAATTAAATGCCTATATATGCTGCTTTTAGAGAGCCATTCATTAACGAAGGCATTTATATCCAGAAGTGAGACAGGTAATGAGTTCATTAGACTGCCCCAAGGAACAGAAAGAAACAGTACCTATACAGCAAACATTCATCATGATCAGAAGCCTGTGAGATGACCCGGTCCAAAACTGAACCTTCATTCACCGAGGCTCCACGTGATCCTCCGCAGCATGAGGAGTTCCCCATGTGCACATCATTGTTCGATACAACTATAAAAAAACAAAAAACAAAGTTCAGAAACTTTATTCATAAAACTGGGATTTCATTATTGCTGATGCTATAGCATATCCTGTCTATAATTACATACATTACATTACATTACGTTGCATTGCATTCCATGGATCCAAAGTTATTCAAAATGACTGTAGGATGTGGAATATGTCATATAAATACAAAACATATGTACAGTCCCAGTGGAGTTCTCACACAAGAGAAACCAAGAATACACAGTGACTACACACAGGCTATTTCAAGATACATAAGTTATTTTCTAGACAATAGGTATTCATCAACAGAGTAGAATGAACGTGTATTTAAGTATCGTTTCAGTGTTATTTTAAACTGTGCTTTTTCATTCATAAGACTTTTGAGATCAGCTGGCAGGTTATTAAAAATGTTGATCCCAGCATAATATGCGCTTTTCCGAAAGCATGAGAGGTTAGCAATTGGTTTATGAAAGCAGTGTTTGTGTCTTATGTTAACACTGTGTACATCTGCATTCGTCTGAAAATGTTCTTCGTTATTTGTAATGAAGTTTATAAATGAATATATATATTCACAAGGAAAAGTTAAGATCTCTAGTCTCTTAAATAGATCTCTACAGGACTTATGGGATTTGACACCCATCATAATTCTAACAATTTTCTTTTGCAAAGTATATACCTTTTTACTGTCAGATGAATTACCCCAGAAAATTATTACATACTTCATTAAAAGCGAAAGTAAGCAAAATAGATTGATTTGAGTGTGTCAATGTTACTAATATGTAACACGAATCTAAATGCATAACATGCTCTACTTAGCTTGGGAATCAACTGATCAATATGGTTTTTCCAGTTTAATTTGCAAACCAAGGAATTTTGTGTTTACTCCCCCTTCTATATATTTATCATTATATCCTATGTTTAATGGATATTGTGGTGAGTTCTTTGTTATAAATTTTATTACATTTGTTTTTTCTAGGCTCAGGGACAGCTTGTTTGCAGAAAAACATTTACTCGTTTGCGAAAGAACCTTGCTTGATAGCATCTAGAAATCACCTAAATGTTTACCAGAAATCCATGATTTATTTAAACCGTCTTGCAGTGNATTAAAATTAATATGAGAACAAGGCATGCAATGAACTGGTTTGGCGTGGATAAGTAAGCACCTGAAGATGGCATTGTTATGACGAAACATGTAGTGCGAGGGAGATAAGGAGATAAATGAGTGTATGCACTGCAAGACGGTTTAAATAAATCATGGACTTAAATCAGTGCAACAGGACGCTAAAATATAACATTACCAGAAATTATAGCACTAGTGTCATCTGCAAATATTATAGGTTTTGATGAGGTACTTAGTGTAGGAGGGAGGTCGTTTATATAAATTATGAAAAGCGAAGGCCCCAAAATTGACCCCTGTGGAACTCCATGTGCTTTACCTTTAACTTTAATAACAGAATTATTAACTTCCTCAACATCCAAGCGGTTTCTTTCCATGAGGAATTTCCACCAAAATTCAGTAGTATACATTGTCTTCTGTCCAATATAATCAGGTCACAGACCCTCCTTAATGCACTTATGCTACAAATGCTGGGCTAAAAAAGAACACTATTTTGAATTGTTTCATTTTTGGTCCGTTACACTATTAATCACAAAGTCAATAAAAAGTCCGTCGAGTGTAACAATGTTTTTTAGGTCACTTCTTTATCACTTTTGCCTTACATGTTTCGGTTTAATAAAACCATCATCAGAGGCACATGGTACTAACAAGAAAACACTGGCGTTGTTTAACTGTACACAGTATATATGCTGCGTGGACGCTGCTACAAATGTCGATGTGTAAAAGCACAACACTTGCTAGGAATATTGAATGCACGTTCAACTCTCGCATTCCATCCGAAATAGCCCTCAAGTTAAAACGTCACTATTAAAATATTTAAAAGTTTAAAACATTTGAAGTAAAATGTTAGGCTCCTCCTTGTTAATTCATCCCGATGATGGGAGATGTCAGCTTGAGGTTGTATAGGCTTATGGTTGGATGTTTCCTATGCGTTGTGTGTTGTTTACACATCGACATTTGTAGCAGCGTCCACGCAGCATATATACTGTGTACAGTTAAACAACGCCAGTGTTTTCTTGTTAGTACCATGTGCCTCTGATGATGGTTTTATTAAACCGAAACATGTAAGGCAAAAGTGATAAAGAAGTGACCTAAAAAATATTGTTACACTCGACGGACTTTCTATTGACTTTGTAAAAAAGAACAATTTCCTCACTACACAACATTCTTCATTTCCTATTTACTTTTCCTCTTTTGAACTAAAATATTTTGTTGAACACTTGTTTTCTGACTATAAAATTTATCAGACAGATTTATTATTGACCATCTAATACATTTTGTCATAACAAACACATAAACTTCTACATATGCTATTTAGCTGCTCCACCATGTTTCAAACACATTTGTTCATCATCAGGGCCATGACTTCATAAGAAATCACTGAATAATATGTATTGTAAAAATATAATAATATACTATAATATGTATAAAATACAATATTGCACCATTTGAGAGGATGACCATCAGTGTCGTAGGGTCCTTAGCAGAGAGCCAGTGGGGAAATTACTACCTTCTGATTGCAATGGACTGCTTCACAAAATGGGCAGATGTTTACATTGCACATGACCAGGAAGATGTTCAGTTGACCAACTTATTCTGCCACTTTTGGGTGCTGAGGGAACTGCACAGCAGACAAAGGCGAGAACTTCAAGTCATGACTGTTACAGGAAGTGTTATGGAGCTTCACAGCATGCAAGGACTCACACCACAACTCTGCATCCACAGATGGAGAGTATATCCAAACGCTATATAACAGCAGATAAGCACTTGAAGCAGGTCATTTTGAGGAACCAGGAGGGATGAGGGGCTACCCCTCTTCCTGCTGGCCTAAAGAGACTACAGGTATGACACCTGCCAGCATGAGGTTCAGAAGAGAGCTACGTTTTCCACTTGACCTACTGATTGGTACCCCCAGACAAGCAACATATGACTGAATAGGTAACAACCATCATTATGCCCATCAACATCTGAAGATGGCAAGAGACAAGATGAGGGCCCACTAAGATCACCTAGCCAGCTCTGCTGCATTCCAGAATGAAGACAAGGTCTGGTAGTACCACCTGACCCACACCCAAGGAAAGTCGCCTAAACTGTACCCATCCTGGGGAGGCACTTACCAGGTGATCACATGGATCATCATATAGCTTAGAGCAGGGGTCGGCAAACTACGGCCCGCGGGCCAACTCCAGCCTGCCGCCGCTTTTTCTGAGGCCCGCGCGCTAATAATAGATTTTACATTTCCAAACTCTTAAAAATGTCAAAGTGGAATAATATTTCATGAAACAAGATAATTATTATAATATTAGTTTAATATTTCTGCATCTATGAAGCTTTATTTATAGGAAGAAACCTACGTTTTATCGAACATATTGTCTATGGATGATAACGCACTCCAACGGCCGACCTTGAGTTGAGGAGTTGCGAGAATTGCCGTGTGTGGCGCTCCTATAGCTTCCCATTCTCACGTTCGCACGTTCCTTCGTGGCCTCAGCCGTGATGACACGCAGTGTTACGAATGCCACGTGTATCGCAGTTCTGTGTCGTTTTAATACCAGTGGATATCCATCATGTCGCTGTCGAAACCACAAAAGAAGAGAAAAGTGGACTTGGAATGTCGTGCTTTTAAGGCAGAGTGGAGTGAGAATTATTTTGTTACTGAATTAGATGGCAAAGCATTGTGTTTATTGTGCAGTGATACTATAGCTGTACTAAAAGAGTACAATATACGTCGGCATTACCAGACTAAGCATTCGGCACAGTATTCCCAACTCACAGGGAAGGAACGATCACAAAAATTAGAAACTTTGAAACGGAGTATTTCATTACAACGCAGTTTCTTCACGAAAATGAAAAATGAAAATAAGGCTGCAAGTAAAGTAAGTCTACGAGTAGCTCATTTGTTAGCCAAGGAAGGAAAACCCTTTACTGATGGTGAGTTAATTAAATCATGTTTGATTGTAGCAGTTGAAGAAATGTGTCCAGAGAAAATGGATTTATTTAATAATATCAGCCTTTCCGCGAGAACAGTTGCCCGAAGAGTTGAGGACATTGGTAGCAACATCACTAACCAATTAATTAACAAGGCAAATGATTTCGAGTGGTTTTCCTTAGCTCTTGATGAGTCGACAGACATTACAGATACTGCTCAATTGCTGCTGTTTATTCGAGGAGTCAATGCTGACTTTGAAGTGACTGAAGAATTAGCTTCTATGAATAGTCTGCGTGGAACAACTACAGGCGAAGACATTTTCAAGGAAGTTGAGGAAATGTTAACGAAGTACAATCTGAAGTGGAATCAGCTAAAATGTGTGACAACTGATGGTGGTAAAAATATGTCTGGAACAGGTAAAGGCTTAGTTGGAAGCATTTACACAGCTTGTGAAAATGCAAGGTGTACAAGGCCTATGGTTATTCATTGTATCATTCACCAGCATGTACTTTGTGGCAAATATCTTAATCTGTCGTGTGTTTTAGAACCAGTCGTGTCAACGGTGAACTTCATTCGTTCTCGTGGGCTGAACCATCGTCAGTTCCGTGATTTTCTGTCAGAAGTGGAAGCCGAATATCCTGACTTACCCTACCACACAGCAGTTCGATGGCTCAGCAGTGGTAAAGTTTTATTAAGATTTTTTGAACTCAGAGCAGAGATTTAAATTTTTCTCAATGAGAAAAATCGCCCTCGACCCCTTTTATCGAACACTGAATGGCTTTGGAAGTTAGCTTTTGCTGCTGATATCATGGATTTCTTAATGGATTCAACTTGAAGCTACAAGGCAAAACAGTGCTAATATGTGAAACTTATACTGCGGTAAAATCATTTCGACAACTGGCTTTGATCGAGTCATAAATCATGTCAAGCTGTTTCGTGCATTTCCCATGCTGTCAAACATTAAAAGAAGAAGTGGATTCCCCATTCCCGCACGAATTTGCAGGTGATATATTTTCTGAGCTCAAAAAACAGTTCCAGCAACGTTTTTCGTATCTTGATGCAAGTGCAGAAGATATTTCCAGATTTGAAAATCCATTTAACTGTACAATTGAGGGACTTCCACCTAACCTTCAATTGGAAGTGATTAATCTGCAGTGTGATAACATGCTAAGAGGCAAATTCCAAGAGAACAGTCTAACAGAATTCTAGAAGTGTCTTCCAAGTGATGAATATGGTGAATTAAGATCATATGCTCGAGGTTTGATCTCTGTATTTGGTAGTACCTACCTGTGTGAAAAGACGTTATCAAAGATGAAATATGTAAAATCTCAATACAGGTCAGCATTAACAGACGAACATTTGCAATCAGTTATGATGATAGGGAGTACTAACTTTGACCCCCAATTTGAAGAAATGTTATCTCAAAAAAAAAATAATTTCATTCATCCCATTAGTAGCCTAAAGCTGAGTTTCAAACAATGACTGTAGTTCCTTTTGTATTTTTATTATGTTACATTTTCACCAGTAAATTTGTGAAAACTTGTTTTTTAACCTGTTATTTTAACTGTACCGACCTTTAAAGATCCTTGAGTTTGCTTCTTGGCCCTCAGAGTGTAATGTATTTTATATTTGGCCCTTTACGAAAAATCTTTGCCGACCCCTGGCTTAGAGGATCCAGGGTAATCCCATAATGAAGATTATGGTGGTCCACCTGCACAGGCTGCCCTTTATTTAGGTGCATGAAGAATGTGCTTATAGCACAGGTCAACTATAGTACAGTCAAGATAACATGGGGCTCGAGAAGTATGAGTGCGTTTTCCCATAGGTCTAATCATGTTCTTGCTTCACTGTAGTTGTCAGTCTATTAATCTGGTACACTTGAAATGATCTCTTTGTACAACTCTTTTATAGACCGTCAAAACACAACAAATAGAAAAAATCAGGGCTTAGCTACATGTTTCAGCTACTAATGGCCATCATCAGGCAAACACATATCAACAAACATACACCATTGAACTGCTGTACAATAGATTGGATACAATGTTAAAATACTTTATGTAAAAATACAATAAGTCAGATTACATAAAAAACTGAAAGGTATTGTATAAAGCAAGATAAAACTTAATTAATGTTATACAACATTGAATCGGTCGTTGATTTTTTACTTTTCATACGTTTCTATGGACCAATTGGAAGTTCGATATTTCATTTATATAAGAATGTATAGGAGGCCCATGATATTGCAAATTAATTAATTGTGTAGTCGGTACCTCACCTTACGAAGAATTGTCCGTATTGTATGGAAAGTAAACATTGTTTACTTTCCATACAAGACCAAATTTCTTTTGTCCAAAACCCTTTGTGTGTTTGGAAATTGGGCCGCCTCTTTGACAAGAGGGGGGGATAATATTTCTGAGTAGGGGCCATAATTTGTTGCACAGTAATTCACACAACGTCTAGGTAGAGGCATTTACACTTCACAGAAACCATGTGCATTTTGTATAATATTTATAATTCATTTATATTAAATAATATTTACACATATATCAGATACATGTATGACCTCTTGTCAATTCAGACTTATGCAGAAGGTTATGCCTTAATTTATTTATAGACTCTGAGACAGCAATTAGACGCCTGAACAGTTGTATGCTTGAGTGCCCACAAGTTTAAGCCTGGGGTTTCTTTCAATTTCCATTATGAATTTCTCCATGTCAAACATGTTGAACAGAAACTGGCAAAACACTCAGTGAAGCATTCCCTACAGTCAGCTGAACAGAATGTTGCTGCATTTTGAGATGTTGATATAAAAGCTACCATTTTTCAGATGACGTTGTGAACTCCAGGCTTTTAAAATGCGGTCAGTGTGGGTTAGCAATGCAGTGTTTCTGACGCTGACCTAACCGTGTCTTTATTTGTTTGGAAAGAATGTGACTTTATAAAGCTGAAAAATTATTGATCGTTACAATATCCCTGGTTCCCACGTACGATTTAATAACGCATCTAGAAATCGTAGCCAGAGGGCATTACAAGACCTCAAATCTGTGACACACGTGAGTCCCGCTGGGTTTAGGTGGGTAATGTGTAGGCCACGTGACGGGTCCTCCACGTCCTAACGATTTATGTGTGAACCGACAGCCAACTTAACTGACAAATGAAGTGCACTGGAGGTCCATCATGCATTAACTACATTTTGACATATGTGAATACATATAACAGAAAGGTATCCTCGTGCTGCAGAAATCCTTTTTGAAAGAACGGGAATAGATAGCAAATGTCAGCAGGTGAGCAAGCAGGAAAAATGTAGGGACCAACGACATATCATCCAGCAGGTTAGTCAGTATATTAACTTAGCATTAATACTGTCACGTGATAAGAGTGTGACTACATACAGGATATCACTGTGGTCGCTGTGCAAGGGCCAAGAAGGCCCACCCCTTATACATTCATTCATGTACGGGATATGGTTTGGTAATCGGCTTTATTGGACACGAACACACAACTCATGCCTACACTTTACAAATCATTACCACACACAAGCAAGCCAAATTGCAATGGTTACATGATACAAGCGAAATAAATTGGGATAATCTGAACAATATAAGACGCAAAACAAGCAGGTATTTCAGGAATAAAAATAGGGAATATCTGAAAGACCAAATTGATCAGCTTGCATCGAACAGTAAGAACAAGAACATTAGAGACCTGTATAGAGGTATAAATGACTTTAAAAGGGGTTAACAATCTAGAAGTAACTTAGTGAAGGATGAGAATGGTGATCTGCTTGCATATTCCCACAACATTTCGAATAGGTGGAAGAACTACTTCCCTCAGTTACTGAATGTACATAGGGTCAGTGATGTTAGGCAGATAGAAATGCATACAGCTGAGTCGTTAATGCCTGATCCTAGCCCTTTTCAGTTTGAGAGTGCTACTGCAAAATTGAAAAGGTATAAATCGCCAGGTAGTGATCAAATTCTGGCAGAACTTATTCAAGCAGGAGGCGAAATATTACGTTCTAAGATCCATAAGCTAATTACTTCTATTTGGCATAAGGAAAAATTGCCTGATCAGTGGAAGGAATTTATTATTATACTAGTTCACAAGAAGGGTGATAAAACTGACTGTAGTAACTATCATGGGATATCACTGCTATCAACTTCATACAAAATTTTATCCAATATTCTTCTCTCAAGGTTAAATCCATATATAGATGAAATTACTGGGGAACATCAGTGTGGGTTTCGACATAACAGATAAACTACAGATCAGATCTCTTGCATTCATAACATATTGGAGAAAAAATTGGTGTACGAGACAGTACATCAGTTATTTGTAGACTTCAAGAAAGCCTATGATTCAGTTAGGAGGGAAGCATTGTACAATATTCCGATAAGAGCTTGGGATACCCATGAAACTAGTTAAGCTGTGTTTAAACGAAACGTATAGTAAAGTCTGTACAGGTAAACAGTTGTCTGATAAATTTTCTATTCAGAATTGTCTAAGACAAGGAGATGATTTATCGCTACTCATTTTCAACTTTGCTTTAGAATATACCATTAGGAAGGTCCAGGGAAACCAGGCGGGACTGAAATTAAATGGGACACATAAGCTGTTGGTCTACGCTGATGATGTCAATCTACTGGGTGATAATGTAAATACCATAAAGAAAAACACACAAACTTTAATTGACGCAAGTAAATAGGTTGGTCTAGAAGTAAACACAGAGAAAACTAAGTATATGTTACTGTCACATCATCAAAATGCAGGGCAAAATCATGACATAAAGATAGGAAACAGGTGTTTTGAAAATGTGGCTGTAATGCCATAGAATTTCGGCAAGGGTTTTTGTAACTTTTAGGTATTAAGTTATCTTGGGTTCACAGTAGAGAAGTAGACGAAGGGTTAATGTTTGTAGTAGAATGCAGGAAGAGGCAACGTTAGTAGAAAATTGTCACATAGCATAGACTGCTGATTCACGCGGAAGAGAAGGCAAGTGGCTGTACGGCCAAGGCGTACAGATTGCCGACTCAGCATGACGGCCTGAGTAGATCCAACCCTCTTTACCGAGATGACCAACGAGAGACGGACCTTTGGGGGAGAATTCGCTCTCTTAAGGGGTGGAGCTTACCCCAAAGACATTAGTCAGCAGAGGAAAAGTTATAAAGTTGCTAACAGAACTTGAGGAACTATCTTTTGGAATCCACAACGATGAACCAATAGTCTATCACTGAATCTTTTGATCAATCTATATCAACCAATTTATCTGAGTGACAAATGTTAAGTGAGTAGCCGGCCAGAGGCCCGGAAGGCCAAAGCCATGGTCGTGCCAGACCAAGTGAAGGGACACCATCAGCTTCCTACACGAAGCGAGTCTAACTGTTCATATCAGTCATGGATATACAGTGTGATATTATTAAAGTGTTATGTTACAGGGTTATGGCAGAGAGTGTAGACCCTGAGTGGGGATGTAGGAATTACCTCGAGAGATAGGGATGGTGAACCCAAGTGTAGTTTCCTCTAATTTACAATGTGTACGTAAACGGCCACTGTCGGCCATGAAAGTGATATGTATATAGGTGTATATATTAGTAGACAAATGTAGACCAAGTAAGGGGGATGCATGTGTTAATGACTTACCCCACAGTCACACCCTCTATGTCCCCGATCTCCCGTACATCTCCTGTTAGAGATACTGTGAACTCACAGCCAAGAGGTAGCTAACGAGACAAGTACCAAGTGCTTGGCATTACAACTGGCCATTCCCCAAGGGCGCAACGGCATGGATAGCGGAAGAGGTGGAGAGATTCCTCCACGCCCCCTTCGCGCCATAACATATGGTGGAAGCGGTGGGATACCTCCACGCCCCCCTGTCACCACGGCATAACAGTGGCACAGTTCAGATATTTGGGAACAACGATAACAGATCGAAACCTGATTGAGGAGGAAATTAAGATGAGATTGAACTCGGGTAATTATTGCTACCATTCAGTCCAGAACCTTTTGTCCTCTCATCTGCTGTCCAGAAACAAAAATCAGAATATAAAAAACTATAATTTTGCCCGTGGTTCTGTATGGGTGTGAAACTTGGTCTCTGACATTAAGGGAGGAACACGGACTGAGGGTGTTTGAGAACAGGGTGCTGAGGAGAGTATTTGGACCGAAGAGGATAACTTGTACTCTTCTCCAATTATAATTAGAATGATCAAGTTAAGGAGAATCAGGTGGGCAGGGCATGCAGCACGAATGAGGGAAAAGAGGAATGCATATAGGATATTGGTGGGAAAGCCAGAAGGAAAAAGACCGCTGGGAATACCAAGGCATAGGTGGTTGGACAATATTAAAATGGATAATAGAAATATAGAATAGGATGATATTGATTGATCTGGCTCAGGATTGGGACCAGTGGAGGGCTCTTGTGAACACGGTAATGAACCTTCAGGTTCCATAAAATGCTGGGGAATTCTTGAGTAGCTGCAGACTTGGCTTTTCCTCAAGAAGGGCTCAGCTCCACAGGTAAGTAGGGCCTAGCAAATTCCAGTATTTTGTAAAGCCTTGTAAAAATAATAAGATATATTGAGTAGTAATTCTAATCCCAATCTTTTTCAGTGAATTTAAAATTGATCGAACAAATCTTACAAGTAACTTACAGCTTCAAGATACAAGTCCATTCCAATTTCCACCCACCCACCCCTTTCAATATAGTTTCCAATCTTCTAAATTTTAAAATATTTTTAATTTGACTGAGTACCAGCTCAGTCAGAATAGTGATTAGGTTACAGGTTGGAGGGCCGGGAAATCGGATTTCAATTCCCGGTTGAGGCAGAAATTCTTCGTCACTGCGTCCAGGCCTCCTCTTGAGACCGCTCAGTCTCTTATCCAAAGGCTACATGAGGTTTTTCCTCCAATGTAAAGCGACCAGGGGCGTGAAACTGACCACTTCCTTCCATCTGGAGCACAGGTTAGGAATGAGTGGAGCTGTACCCTTAGTTCCCATACCTCTTCATAATGCTTAATTCAATGGAAGGAATTTATATGTAGTCGTTTCAGCTTGTTTCCTGATTCATCGACGTCTAGAAGTGAACAAAGGTACACTGTACACAGTGCATTAATCCCTCGCCAGTGGCGGTTTTGCCAACCAAGGATTTAAAGTATCCGCGGTCTTCATTTCTGTACAGTTTTGCCCATGGCGGTATTTGGGATTATATATGCGCGCTTTCTATTTGCATGCACAAGGAAAATATAGGTGTATTCCACATCAAGAGATTCATATTTGCTGGGACACGGCTGTAATAGCATCAAAACCGGAATTTATAACTTCCAGACTACAATTTCCGTGCAACTTTTTCGTATTTTATATTCAATTTATTTTTAAACTCATTATGTTCAGTATTTCTGTGTTCGGTGCAATAACGGGCAACGTATGCTTTAACGAGTGTTAATAGATTCCATGGTTCCCGTAATGTAACCATTCAGGTTGGCGAGAAATTAATGTATATTCACATTTCTGCAGTATGTTTGCAAACATCTTTACATCTCGCCGTTGTAAATGCGGCAGCGAAGTTCCAAATCCTTCCGTCCCTAAAATATGCCTATAGTAAATATTTTAAAATTGACTGCTGACTGTTTAGTGACATATTCACAACCAATATATTTCCGGGGGGGGGGGAAGCTGAAGACTCCAATTTTCCAAGGGGCAACCAGAAAATTTGCTTAAAAACTTACGTTTAAGTAATTCAAGATTATTTTTATTGTTCGCGTAAAACATTCAGGATAGAAGTTTTTTAAAATATTTTAATTTCTGGTATAATATTTAGTACAAGTCATTCTGTCTTCAATTCCGATTTCTTTCCAAAAATCCAGTGTGGACGGAAGTTGCACAGTTTCCTCATTTCCCTTGCCGGCGCCCGTGTGTAGTGAGCATTATTTTATTGTTGTCCCCGTATGTGCAGCCCTTGCTGTAACGAGCAGTTTATGTCTTTCCGCATTCTTTTCACTCAAACCAGAAATCAGAAATAAAAACATATTTGTTGACTTTACGAATTACACAAATATTAGGCTACTTAAGAACAAAAAATAGACCCTACAAGATTATTCTTCGGTGTAAGTTCATTGGTAATTATCTTGTTCTCAAACATTCCAGTCGATATCTGGTACTTCAGATCTTCAGGAATGCACTTGCAAATTAAGACGTCTGTAACGTTGAATGGGATATCAAAACCTTGCTTCCTATTCTGCAGGCGAGTTCACAATAGATAAAATTTGCCTCCTTCAATGCGCAAAAGCCAAGTTACTCGTTTTAAGGTTCATCGTCGACTTTGTACCTGCCCTTCGTTGATACAACCTAGCACGGGAGAAAACACGTGACCAAGAAGGTCAATACATTAGCAGTTGGGGAGGGAATCGGTTCGTTATTATTTGCCAGGAGAATTGGTCAACACTAATTGTGTTTCTTCCGACAATGACACATGTTACACCCTTTCTTTCCCTATATAGATCGGAGATTGGATTTATAAATGTACTTGGCACTACGATATGAGGGGAGGTCCATTTTTTAAAGGTTTAAAGAATATGGTATTCAAGTTAGTTACGTCCTCTTTCCAACACAGTGTCATTACTTTGTAACCTCTGTAATCCTAGAAGATTTCTCTCCTCTTGCATATAACGCCGTGTAGTTCTTTGAAAGTCAATCACGTTTCGGAGGAACATGTCGCCTCCATCTTCACGGTCGAAGAATAAGTCAGAGCTTTGTTTGCTATCTGCTTCATGCTGATTTCTTGCCTTGATTATTCTTCAACACGGAGGATGGAGGCGATACGTTCCTCCGAAACGTCGGTTGACTTTCAACGGACTATACGGCATTATGTCCCACAAGACCTCTTCAAAACCACCGCTGTGAGAACTGCAAATCGTATATCTGTAATCTCAGTACAGTACCCAGAAGCAAATGAAATAATAACCAGTTTTAGTGAAAAGCGCATTAAGTGAAACAATAACTCGTACAGTATACCGTATCACATCACACCACCATCAAAAGTAAAATATATTAAATTATATTTAAATTTAAAGTTGTGGCGTATTTATTGTTAATGATTCTGTAGTTTTACTTCATACTCAATTATTTTAGATCTGTTATATTTTCTTTCGTTATGGACCGTCAGTTTATTAGTCTACGCCAAAAATATTTTTCGAAATCATGTCAAATTAAATAGTGTGCACTGACATTTTTCATTTTTCTGTATCAAAAATTAGTTATAATAGAATACCTGCTTACCTTTAAGGAGAGAGTTCTGCTTCACAGCCCCATTGCACGATGTTCGGTTTAACAGCAATAAAGCTGCGCCGATCCGTGCTACAGCTCATCTATACCACATCTATGACATCTATACTCCGTTGACATTCCCGTACTTTGAATTCAGGGCTCCTACTAGCAGAAGTCCAACACACTTGCATGGTTCCCCTAAGAATTTACCTAGTGATAATCGTACTAATTTCAGGCAACGAATGTACATCGGTTTGAAAATATATACGATATATACCTTGTTCAATGACGTCACGTTCACCTACACTACCAGCGACTACAAGCCAATCGCTGCTACAAACTGTGAGCATGAAGCGCAGCCGTGAGTTCAGTGATTGCAGTGGAGATCGGTCGAGTTGCCCGGGAAGGTTCAAACGTTGGTAACAATTTTGCTATTAAACAACTGGAACTTCAGCGTATGTATTGTTAGTGCAGTCCGAATATGGTTTATTGTTCCATATAATTCTTCCATTCACACTGTTTCGAACCTAATGATGATGTTAATTTTAGGTGTGGCAACACTTACTGTTGTTACCATTGGGCAGTGGTTGCTGGTAAACGGCTGTACAGAAGGCAGGGCCCGAATGAAATTTACCCCCACATAATGCCTACAATTAAGGCGTTAGAAAGGGCTTTCTTATTTAAATATTCGAATTTTTACTTTGTATAGTACCCGTGTTTTTATGGATAATAACTTCACTTTATGTTGACAGGAATATTTTAAACAGGAGCTGCTCCCCCCCCCCGGAGACCTGTAGCTGAACACCATATCGACCATATCCTTGGTAGAAATACGGTGGGATTTGTATCCTACTGGGCTCATTCATGCCTTCTTCAGCTTGTATGTCAGTCATACAGATGAACTGATAAGTATACAACTTTATGCTATAGTTGCTTCAGCAGGGATTGATATAAAACTAAAAATGCAATCCCAGGCCTGACCAATGTATTAATCACATTTTTCTTTTGGACACTTTGATAGTCATGGCGACAAAGTTTATGTCATACCAGATCACTTCAAAACTGTCTTTAAATTAATTTCACATGCTCAGCATCAGATTGGGTTTCTGACAAACTTTCAGTCATAATCATACTGCAGCTGTCCAACCAACTTAGCTCGCCTCTAACCTCTGGGATTTTCCTGTGTGCTGCCTCCAGATGATCTTGTGTTCTCAATTAGAGTACGTGCAAAGGGTGCCTTGGCTAGTCGGCAGGCATGGGTTCTTATTTCAGGGGATTCTGGTTGCTTTAGTGACCAGAACAAGAAATCTTTGGGAACTGAGTAGGTTAAACTGTTAATTAAACACAGAGCAAACTTCACGATGGCCTGACATATTGAAAGCACTATTTTGAAATCTCAATCACTACACCTCTGTAGATTCACCACTTCACAAATTAAAAATTCCCTGTTCACATAAAAAGAAAAAACTCCTTTCAGCATTCTTCTGTCTTATTAACCCTCTGTGTGCTTCCACTCTCCACAGTTACTACCAACCACCCACAATTCCACTACTCCCATTCACATCAGTCACCAAGACATATATATCTACCAGAGGAAGAGTTCATCTGAACATCTTTGCACCTATACTCATCTAGAAAGGTGTAACTAATATTCCTATGGGTCCTGCATCTCCCAGTTTGAGGACAGGGGCTGAAATTTGACTCCTACTTTCCCAATTAAGATGTTTTGACACCTACACACCCCTCCATGTGACGGTCTCAGGGGGGCCACCCTTGGTAAAGCTTTATAGCCAGGCTCTGACAGTGGGCCTTCGTTCAATAGTCTTAACTTGTCTGAAATAGATAAGTAAAGGTATCCCTGTAACATGCCTTGGAGGCCCATATGGTTATGAGATGTTGAGGTTCCCACTTTTCTAGACAATCGGATCATAGATGGCAGTAAGGTTGTCAGCCCTACCCGCTGGGCGCCCTTTACCCCCAAGAATGTTCCTGGTACTTATTTCTGTTAGAGACTGAGTTGACCCCAGGGCCATAGTGCAGCTGGAAGGATTAGGTAAATTGAAAACAAATCAATGACCTCATCAGGATTCGATCCCACAACCTTCTGCCTTGTAGCATAGTGCCTCAACCAGCAACGCTACTACGTACCAGCTGAGGCCAGCAGTAAGTGAATAAGGTTGGCATGAGATGGTTGCCAGCCTGCAAAGATGTGAGCCCAGAAGCAGAGGAACATCCAATGCCAGAAGCTGCTGCCACACAATGTGATTGAGAACACTAGTTTGTGTGTGACAGCGATCTGTGAAGTGCAATCACAAGCTGTAAAAGTGACCAATAAATCCAAATATATATATGGCATGTTTTACATCCATTAGTCCTATGAAGATTGAATGGAATGCAAACATATTCTAAATTTAATCATTTGCTGTCTTCTAAATTTTATGAAGTGAGTTTTGTAATACATCATAAATTTGAATTTTCAAAATAAATAAGGTAAATAAATTTCATTATCTCATTTCTTTTCTTACATTCTTCAGTAGCCATAACATCCATTATCAACTAAAATCAAAGTTCTCTTCTGTCAACTGTTCCTCATTATTTGACACAGGGAAGGTTTATTGACAAAAAATTAAATTACACACAACTGCTTTTAATTGTTTCTCACACAAAAAATACAACTAGTCACAGAAAATTACCCCTGTTCCAACAAGTGATAACTCACTATGGTATACAGAAAAAATTCACATCACAAGGGTCTAAAATTCAAGCTGTCACTACCTCAGATCCTTGACACAAACTTCTGTGACAAGATCTGTCTTGAGACTGGCTGAATCCAGAGCAGTTTCTTCATGACTTTCTTCATGAATGATGGTCACCTTGCAAACACTTTGTATACAAATAACATAGAAAAAAAGTACTGTTTGGAAGTTGATTTTTCTTTTTGGCAGTAAGACTTCTGCTTGGAAAACAATGACCACTTTCTTCTGTTCTCGCATTTAACCCTGTATAGTCTAGTTACTGACAGCATTATAAATTAATAAAAAAAGCATTTGTTCAGCTATTTTTGAACATTCTAACACATTCGTGTATGCTCTACTGTAGCTAAACACGGTCACTATGCTGTGTTATCTTTGATGCATGTCGCCATCTTGATGCCAATAGTGGATAAGGTAACCAAATGGTAAAGGACAAATAAGTTATTATAATACAGAGAGTCTATGCTTGTGTTCACATGTGGATTCAACAGTGGGGCCAATCACAAGAAAAGATATAAAACATTTGGCAGAAACTTTCTAACTTACACTCATATTTCCTTCTCTCTGAACACTAAGGAAACAAATAATGGAATAGAAAAGAACTTGATTTTCAAGGATTTTATAATTCCACATTTACAATATACAAATCAAACCAAGATACAAATGTTTCAAACAATATTTTCAGATGTGTTTGCACTATACCAACATAGAATATCACTTTAAACTGATTCATCTCCTATCATCATATCAAAATATCTACCCATTATCCCAAATAAAATTATCCAAACAAAAGCTGCTTATTTTTTAAACTTCAGAACAGCCACAACAAAAATGCTGTTGCTGCTCACATATTCACACTGCTTCCTGACATATGGACAGCAGGAGACGCAGTAATGATATGATGTATTAAAAAATGTCCATAAAATTTTCTGTGCACGGAATGTTGTTCAGAAAGTTTTGACCTCAAAAATTCTGATATAATCTCCTTCTGCTACGTATTTCTTTAGTTCTACCAAAATGATAATGAAAATCATCAACAAGGTTTACATATTAACAATACATATTCAGATAGATGTTAAAGAGCAGCACACAAATATTGGATCTGAATACTTATATACTCAGCTGAATATTTTATATAAAAGACATATTAAGCCATGATATAACTGAAAAAACTAATTAGATGTTAGATGTGTTACCCTAACCTTAGAAGAATACAGATTTGTTTAGTTTTATAAAATTCTTTCATGGAAGAAGAATGCAGATGTTTCCTGAGCAAGACGATCTGTATTTGTCCCCTGAAAGGAAATTTATAGCTGTATCTCCTATTGCTCATTATTTCAGAAACTCTGGTAACAGATTTGTGCCTATGGCTATTTCTCTGCTGTACATAACAAAACTTGGAAAATGAAGAATTCCTAGCCTTAGAAGAAAGATTAGCTAGTAAGGCAAATGAAAAGTAAGCTAAAAGATAATCCCCTACATTCCTCAATGTAACAGAAACACTTGTTTTGAGCATTATTCATATATAAGTTTCATACCCTGTGGTTTAAGCCTTGTAAACACTGGGCTGCCTATTGGTTCACCATGAAAAGTCAGCTTATGTATTGACGAAACAGAGGAAGAACAGAATTTCATACTGGGAGGTCCATGGCCTTGACTTCCAAAATAGGTGCCAACAAGCATCAAGACAGTTGTGGATTGCAATTTGAAACATATAGGGGGATTATGCAAATTTTGTAGACTTTCATTAACAAAGAAAATCAAAACATAAACAAACTCCTTGGTTTTAGTCTGCAACCGAACTATACCGACCGAGTGACCGCTGCTTGTCAGCGAAGTTAGTGCCAACTTTTGTGGATAGAGGGTGTCGTGTGGTCAGTACAACAAATCCCCACAGCCATTAACTTCGGTTTTCTAGACCGGATTTCATTAACAAAGACCAATATTAATTTGTACATGTATCAAACACACAACTACATTTTGACTTGGAACTTAGATAAACCAATCCTATATTTCAGCCATATTACTTGGTGGCATTCTGTGACTGTGTAAACTGAGACATCAGATTGCTATTATTGAGTAAATCACTACACACAATCTCAGCACATTAAAAAAAAACACAGTTATCCCTGTAACTGGCCATGAAGGCTGATACAGTTGTGAAATGTTGAGGCTCACATATTTTCTCTAGACAACTGGCTCACAGAGGGCGGTAAGGTTGTCAGCCTTACACACCGACCATCCTTTACCCCTCAGGAAGATTCCTGGTACTCATTTCTGTTAGAGGCTCAGCTGGCCCCAGGGACCATAGTACTGCTGGAAAGATTAGGTCAATTGACAATAACCCACCTCATCAGAACTGAAACCCACAACCTTCCAGCTTGTAGCATAGTGCTTCAACCAACAATACTACTGCATGCCCCATCTCAGCACATTAAAACTCAATTATAGTGTTCACTGGCTTTCACTGAAATGACAACACCTGTACTGTTTCCATTCTA